AAGCATTCAGGAAATGCTTAAACAGCTCAGCAGAAAATACCATTCACCTCAGTGGCCTGATGCGTATTATCAGGATGTCTCTGCCAAGATTTTTCAGAACCTGAAATCGACCTATTTCTTTACTTCTTAAACGGATATGAAAATAGGCCTTTTACATGGAAATGAACGGTGTAGACATAAAATAAGTTTTTGTCCCTAATTCAGTTGCCTAATTCTAATCTATCCTATGGATCGAGCCCTTCTTTGCTTCTTGAAAGATACCTAGATCCATAATGTCTCTGCTTGCTCTTGAATCATGAATGGCTTATTTACTTCTAACCTCCCAAACTGTCTTATTTCTGTAGTTAGAACGGTGATTCTTTTGTAACCATCAAACACTGAACAATTTGTGAAGTTTAATCTCCTTGTTCTCCCCTATCTCAGGCTCATGTTAGTCAAGGGCAGGGGTGGGGAGCCTTTTTTTCTGCCAAGGGCTGTTTGCATATTTATAACGTAATTCTCAGGCCATACAGAATTATCAGTTTAAAAACTGGCCTGCTCTATTTGTCCAACACTTAATTAACTCACCCAAAATTCCTTGGCAGGCCAGACCCAATGATTTCACAGGCCTTACCTGACCTGCAGGCCAGACATCCCCACCCCTGCTCTAGAGGCTTGCATCGGAGAGAAATGCGTGTACCTTCTAGATTTCCCCCCCTTCGCTTTCCCACTCCATCTCCGCTCAGTCACTCATTCCTCTCGGCCCCTGAGGGTAGCTACAGCTTGTGGCATTACCATGGAGAGAAGGACAGCTCCAGAGCAAGAACATCTTTCCTGGCTGGCACCAATGTAAAACAGCATTCTACCAAACACGAGCTCACAATCAAACCTATAAAACAGCTCTGGCAGCATTGCTCAGTGGTTAGAACATGGCCTGTGCACCGAAGGGCTTCTACCCTATTTTTCCAAAAATAAGACAGTGTCTTATATTAATTTTTTCTCCCAAAGTTGTGCTAGGTCTTATTTTCGGAGGATGTCTTATTTTCGGGGAAACACGGTAGTTCAATTTCCAGTCAAAGGCATGTAACTTAGTTGCAGATTCGATCCCCAGCCCCAGTCAGGGCACATGCAGGAGGCAACCAATCAATGTCTCATGTTGATGTTTCTCTCTCTCCACCCTCCCCCTTCAGTCTTCCCTTCCACTCTCTCTATAAAGCAATGGAAAAAAACAAACAAAAAGATATGAAACACATAAGGAAACAAGAAAGCATGAGTGACAGCAGAAGTAATGAATTTCAAATTTAGACTCACAAACACTGCTGATTTTAGCACCACCGAGTATACTACTACTAGTAAAAGTGTAATATGCTAATTAGACCAGACGACCTTCCGGACAAAGCCGGGGCTGTGAGGACAGGTACCAGCCTGCCGGTGGCCAGAGGGAAGGCCGGGCCCAAGTGCCAGAGCCGGCGGGGGGGGGGGGGGGGGGGTGGGGGGGGGTTGGGGGGGAGTGGAGTGCGAGGGGGGGGGTGGGAAGAAGGCCTTCTCTTGCATAAATTTCATGGATTGGGCCCCTAGTAAGTAAAATATAAAATTTGTGCATTTAATATATTCAAAGAAATAAGTATTTTATACAGGAGTAAAGAGCAAGATGCTCTCAACAATGACCATGCAGGTTTAAAAAAGATCTAAAATGAACGTTTAAAAATGAAAAATATACTGATTAAAAATAAAACTGGAAGGAGATTAGAGCCAACTGAAGAGAGAAGTAGGGAACTGGAAGATGAACCTGAAGAATACAGTACAGATAGACAAAGAGATGGAAATGCAAAAGGTAGATTAAGCAACATGTAGCACAGAATGAAAAGGTCTGAGTACATTTAACTGCAATTCTCAAGAGTTTAAAGAGAAGAAATATTTGGTATGTTAGTAGCTGGGATCCTGAGAGTTTTCAATAACTGATGGAAAATACAATCCACAGATTTAGGAAGCACAACAAATCCCAATCTGAATAAATTTTTTTAAAATTCACACCTGGCCACATGTTATTTAAACCAAAGAACACTGGAGACAAAAAGAAAATCTTAAAAACAGCCAGATAGACAAGATAGATTGCTTACAAAGCAAGGATAATTCGATTGGTAATTGACTTCTCAAAACCACCAACCACAAAAGTCAGAGAGAGTGGAGTGATGTCTTGAGAGTGTGGACAGAAGGTAACTATTAATCTAAAGTTGTACATTCAGTGGAATTATCTTTCAAGAACAAGAATAGCATAAAAACTTGTGTTTTTTGTTTTTGTTTTTGTTTTAATAAACAAGAACTAGTCGAGTATGGTACCCACAGAGTCTATGGCATAGACCATCACTGAAGACCACTTCCTTCAGAAAGAAGGGGAAGACCTCAAAAGAAGATACGAAAAGCAGAAAGAAATGGCTTGTAGAACACCACGCGGGTGATTCTAAAACACTTTCTAAACCAAAGCACCATTTTATAAAGCGAAAGAGCAAGATGGGATTAAAACAACGGACCAAACAGCAAGAAGTCCGGAGGAGGGCATCGGAGTGCAGCACCAATTGAGTCTATCTTTAGGCAGCTCTGCGGGTGAACATCATAAAGCTAACTGCTTCATAGAAAGGACTGAGCCCAGATGCTTCACCCAAGGACAGGTCTCCCGTTCACCCAGGACCCTGGATCTGCCACGCCAGAGCCTGGCGGGAGGAGGGTCCGCGTTCCCTGGGGACGTATCCCTTCGATTGCTCACATCTGTCCAGACGCCTCCTCTTCACTAGCATGCTATGGGGTTTTTCAGATCCCTTCGGAACACGCCCTGCCGTGAACTGCTTCCTTCCTCACTTCCCAAGTGCCATTTCTCGCAGGTGCCCCTTCTGGCCAGGAGCCGGGCGCCACCCACTGTGCAGCCTCCCAGCTGCCCCTCCGAGGCGGCGGTGTGCACAGAGCCGTGGCGATGCTCATACAGACCTGTGACCCACGCGGTGCTTCCTGAGGCCACAGCAGCCACGTACTCCGCTGCCAGGGAGGGGCTGGAAGCAGCCTCGGCAGCGCAGAGCGTGAGTTTTTCCTGCGGGGTCTCCGTCAGGTCATGATCAGCGGTAGCTGTGTTCATCATGAGACTTGACCACACATGGAGGTGAAAAACGCTTTATTTCCGTTTAAAACATCACAATGCAATTCGCTCTGTATATCTGACACTGAAAAGAAGTAGTCCCGGGCAACAGACACACACAGTTCAGTTTTGATGCCACAGACGAGGCACAAAGACAAACGGGCAGGTGACACGGCAGCACCTTCCCCGCCTCCCTGCCCCATTCCGTCCTCCGCAGGAGGCCCTGGGGCAGCCTGTGCCCCTTGCCCACACAGGGTGCTCCCTGGAAGCCCGGGAGGGGCTCCTCTCTCAGCCTTCCTGGGAGCAGGCCCGGCCCCGCTGGCAGCAAACACAACGCAGAGTAACGCCTCTGCTGCCCTCGGCATCTGCCCGCTTCGTTCCACTCAACATCCCGAACACAGGGAAGTGGCAGGCAGTTAGGTCCTAAGAGGTCACCCCAAGGCCTGGGTTCCCGAGTCTCCATGACTTTGTACTCTGGCTCAGACATGGCTCTTCAGGAGGAATCTGCGATCTGTAACGCAGGTGTCCAGGCGCCCCCAGCGCTGGGCGAGGCCGAGTCCCCGGCCATCAGCAGGCGCGGGCAGGGCCCTGCAGGATGGGCAGCGTCTGTGCTCACAGCTCCCACCCGTGGGCCAGTGCAGGGCTCCTGCACCGTGCTGGAGGGCCAGCCAGACCCTCGGGAATCCAGGACCCGGAAAGAACCTTAGACAGACAGTCCGTGGGCCTGGCTGGGTTTTTAAAAGATCCTTTTCAACCTCTTTCACTGTTTGATGGGACTCTAGGACTCTTCCCCCTCCCCAGCCCCCGCCTGCCTCTCAGACACAATGAAAGGGCACGTGGGAGTGGCCTGTGACAGCAGCACCTGAACTCGGGCAGAAAGAGCCACCCTCTCCCCGCCCGGCAGCGGGGCCCAGGCGGCTGCTGGCAGCTCACGAGTGTCCTCGCCCACTCGGATGTCCAGAGCCCCCAACTCCGAGCTTCAGGGGTCAGATCAGCTTCCCGGGAGGTCGGAGGCGGGTCCTGGCAGGAAAAGCTAGGCCCCTGAGGCACCTGGATCCCATGTGGGTTGGCTCCCGACACCCAAGTCGCTCTCAGACTCCTGCGGGGTCAGGCCGCACTGGGACCTGGGCTGGGGCTGGATGTAGATTTGATTCTTCTCTCCCGCCCCACATGCGGCAGTCAGGTCATCTGTGTGGCCAGGCAACCTGGGGAATCACGGATCCAGCAGAAAAGACCTAAGGCTTGGAGTCCGGAGACCACACTCCGTGTGTGCCTTCACCAACGGGCGATGGAGTTCCCTCCACGGCTACCGCCACGCTGCAGCCTCCGGCAGAGGCTGCCGAGTCCAGTCCAGGAGCCGTGTGTCTCTGAGACGCGTGGAGCACCGCCAGGCGTGGCGAGGCGCTGTGAGCACGGAGTGCCTGGGGGGTGGCAGCCCCTCCCACCCGCGCCAGGGCGGAGTGAGGCTCGGAGGGAGGCCCGTCTTCTCCGTAAGACGGTCTGTGTGGGAAGGGTGGCCGGCAGCCCTGGAGCTGGGAACGGAGCCCGGGGCAGCCAGGACAGCGCTCCTGTGAGCACGCGTGGCGGGACAGCTGGCACGCACTGTCAGCTCCGTGACAGATGTCCTCGGCTTCCTAACATGTCTATGCACAGCCCGGAGACGCCGTTCACCTACCAGGGACGCTCTGCCATCTGCATCCACGTGCCCTCCACACGGCCCCGACTCACTGTGACTCACAGGCAAGCACAGCAGCTCACACTCACCCCTGGCCCTCCGCGGCCCCTCCCTCTCCCAGTCACCTTTCTTTATTAGCATCGGCTCTTCCGAGCACAGAATATCATGAACTAAGATGGATGGACACACACACACACACACACACACAATACTAAAATATCAAAATATACCCATTTAAATAACACACACTTCAGTCTCTGGGTCTGCTGTCACTTATCCATCGCTGCATTTCACGTGATGCGTGAACCTCCCGGTGCTTTCTTGGGCATGTCCTGTCCCCCAGGTCCCAGGGGCCAGGGGCCAGCCTCACGCCGGACTGGCTCTGTGCCCCAGGAAACCCGGGAAGGCGGCTGGGCAAGCCCTTCCTCCGAGGACACGGACTCAGGAGAGCAGGAGCACTGGGTCCAGGGAAGCCTGGGCGCTGAGGGCACCTCTGCCTTCCCTTGTCCGTCAGCCTCACCTCCTGCCCACGTACCCAGAAGCGACCGTCTTCTCTCTCCACTGCAGGCCCTGTCGTCTCGGTCACTCTCAGACGACAAGCTGGCCCAGCCCCAGGCTACTTCCTGTCTGTCACTGTCTGCACGTGTGTTGTCCTTGGAATGGCAGGTTTCCAATTTTAGTCCTTTCCCACTGCCCCCTCCAGTCACCCAAGCCAGAGGGCCCGTCTCGGAGCAGTGGGGGCTCTGCGGCGGGCGTGGGAGGCTCTTTGGTGGTGAAAAGCCTGATGCAGGGTGCGGATGAAGAAGTGAGAGCGCCTGCAGCTGTCGATGTTCTCCAAGATTGCCTGAGCAAGTGAACGCCGAAGCTGGTGACTGAGAAAGGATGTTTTCACGGTCTTTCCCATCTGGACCAGGCCCAAAGGGACAGACTAGACCAGGCTTTTGGAGGCCAGGGGCAGCAGCACATCGAAGACTCAGCACCAGGGTTATGGCTCATGTCTTCCAGCCCTTGGAAGTGCCAGCACTGGGCTGAACTGTCTGCCTGAGTCCTCCGGACAGGCCAGAGCCACTGTGGAGTCCTTGGCAGCCCAGTTCTCCAGCAATGACATCAACCCAGCCACTGGCCCTCACCCAGCCACTTCTTCGTTCATTGTGCACGTAGGACTATGCTGGCCATACGTGATGTAAATGGAATGGTCCTCCGAGAAGGAGCCTCGCTTGTCAGGTGGCCCTAGAGAAGCCCAAGGCGATGCTGAGGAAGGAAGCCACAGGCAAGCACCTCCAGGGATTGGAGTCAGCCACGAGTCTCCCCACACAGCCTGGGGAGAAAGGCTTTGGCTGAAGTCTGTCCACGAGAGTGCAGGCTGTGCAGTGAGGGGTTGGGTGGAGTCGGAGATTCGGGGCCGGACAGGGAAGAAGATGAACATATAGAGAGAGCAACGTCTCCTGCCTTGTGTAGGAGTCAGCAATGTGGGCTCGCTCCTGGCGGTTCTTCTGTTGGTCTCAGCTGGGCTCCCTCATGTCTGCAATCAGCTGCGAGTTGACAGGCTGGGGGAGGGGGGACCGGCCCTGTCTCCCATCATGCAGCGGGACAGCCGGGCTCACTCCCCTGGTGGTAACGGCCAGGTGCGCAAGAGCAGCAAGAGAGGGCAGTCCCATGCCCACGGATTTTCCGTCTCGGCTTGTGCCACACTTGTTACTGGGCCACCAGCCCAATCAAATCATTTGGCCATGCCAGATTCGAGGGTGGAGGGCAGGAGGACAGACTGCATTTCTCATTGAGAAGTGTGGCCATGTTTTTGCAATTTACACAAATGACAAAATCCAGAGGGATCTAGCTTTCTATCATTTAGGCAACGGTGGGAACAGGAAGTGCTCCCCTGGGAGCAGCACCCCTTGTCTCCAAAGCGTCTGCAGCAGCCACAGAGAGGCCACGGTGGGCACGTGTCCGGGACCTGGAGCAGCAGAGCTGCTGCGGCAGAAACTACGGAGGCAGACGCAGTACAAACCCAGGGAAGTCACGGGAGTCCGTGGGGGAAATGGCCCATGTTCCAAATACGAGAACAGGTATTCTTCTCCCTCCATTACTGCGTCCTCTCCTTTCGCTCCCGCTTCTCGTGCAGATGTGGAGCATTTACCGAAGAGCCGGTCGCATGGGGAGGGAGACGGGGCTCCGTGTGGCCCCAGCCCGTGCCCATGACTCAGGCGTGTGCAGCAGAGAGAAACGGAAAAGGAATCCACGTAGACAGCTTTTCAAACAGGTATGTACTCTCTTCCGTGTTGTGCCAGCCACTCAAGAACTGTCCTTCGGAACAGCAAGTGGAAGTCATTTCTGTGACTGTCCAGCAGGTCACGGTCACCAGCCCACTGGCAGCTTCTGTCCTCAGTGTAACCGCAGTCGTGGAGCAGAGACGGAGGAGAGGGGAGTAACGGGTGAGCTCAGCCTGAAGCTCTCCCGTGGTCAGAGGCCTTGTGATAGCAGTCACAGGCGCTGCCGCCTCTCGGCACAGCCAGGAGGCCCGGAAATGCGTGCTGGAGGCATTCCTGGAGACTAGCCGTCCCCAGCTCACTCCCGTCAGACGTGGAGAGAATCCTGGTGCGGCTAAGGAGCCTGGCGGGCGAGAAACGCGCGTGTGGAAGGTTCTCGCGTGCAGTCGCTTCCATGGCGGATTTCTCAAACCAGATAGATGGTTCCGAGGTTTGGAACCAGCCTCGCTCAGCCTTCCCCCGTCCCTGGCCAAGGCAAAGATCAGCAAACCTTCCAAGGTGAGGCCGGAGGAGTCCCGGGCCAGCTGGCTCCTGGATTTATGCCTTGTCCTCATTGTCCACGTCTGATTCTCGTCACCCAGAGAGCTGTCTCGAACACACATCAGACCACAAGGGACATCCTGGTTGGAAAGTCGTTCTGGAGAAGAGCAGAAAGAGCCCAGCATGAGACCACACACTATTTAGAGAACCAGCACCACAGGTGGTGCTGTGGGCACAGTCCATGGCCTGGCCTGAGCCTGGTACCCACCCCCCAGGAGTGCACTCACAGGACAGGTGTGCACACACGCGTGTGCAGGAAGTTCTGCATGCAGGCCTCCCAGCCCACATAAGGACCAGATCGTCCCGCTTTTGGCGGGACAGTCCCGATTCCTAACAATTTTTGCCATGTCCCGCGGAGTTTTTAAAAAGTCCCGATTTTTGGAAAGATTGGAAAGATTCTTACCAAAAATCGGGGCTTTTTTAAAATGCCGCGGGACACGGGAAAAAATTGTTAGAAATGCGGATTGTCCCGCCAAAAGCGGGACGATCTGGTCACCTTACCCTAGAAACCATGATGCTGCTTGTTAGAGATGGTCACTAGTGGGCCAACCTCTCCTTCCGCACCCCTGCGCATGCCTAGCCAGCGCCCCAGGCCCCTGCCTCCTCACCCACCTGTCGCAGGGAGAGGGAAGTGGTGGTGGGGGGGTAGCCAGCACCCAAGCTCTCTGCAGCGGGCCCCGCCTCCACCAGCCCCTCTCCTCTGCCCCCGCCCCGGCCACCCCAGCCGGGGCAGGCCTCACCGGCTTCTTGGTGGGCTCCTTCTTCTGCCGCTTCTCCGAGGAGCCGTGGGCGGCCGGGTCGCGGCCGCGGCGGGACGGCGTGCGGCTCAGCTCCAGCTCGCTGTAGGGCGGCAGCGTGTCCTCGGCCGAGTCGCCCTCGTCGCTGCCCCGCGGGGCGCGGGCCCGGTAGGAGGCGGGCGGGGACCAGGCGTAGCAGGGGCCGCGCCGGGCGGGGGTGTCCAGGCTGCCGCCGCGGCCCGGGCGCTCGCAGGCCGGCAGGCTCACCAGCCGGGGCAGCGGCGCGGCCTCGGGGGTCCAGGCGCGCTCGGCCTCGGCGGGGGGCTCGCGGCTGCGGCTCCGTGGCCCGAAGTACGGCTCCGGGGAGTAGCCCTCGGGCGGGTAGCCCTCGGGCGGGCCGTCCCCGAAGAGGCCCCCGCGCGCCCGCGGCTCCGCGCGCTCGAAGCGGCCGCCCGGCCTGGCGTCCAGGCCGTCCTCCGCCGCCCGCCGGGCCCGCGCGTACGAGTCGGCGAAGGCGGCCAGCTCGTCCATGGACACGGCCGGCACCCCCGTGGCGAAGCTCTTGCGCGACAGCATCTCGGACTTGGAGCGCTGCTGGCTGCGGGGAGGGCACCGGGTCAGGGGCACGTGTTTGCCCGGGGCCTGGGGCCCTGGTGGGCGCCGCCGCACCTCTCTGGCCGGTTCCCCGCAGGGAAAGGGAGGCAGCGAGTCCCCCAGGGTCAGGTCCCCAGGGTCAGGACGGAGCATCACAATGGCGCCTGGAGCATCACAATGGCGCCTGGAGCATCACACAGGGGCCCAGTGGGTGGGACTTCGTGACCCAGAGGGCGGGGCCTCCCGAGCATTGTCACGTGACCTGGGGGCAGCCTGTGCCCCTGTTCACCCCTCAGCTCCCTGGGTACCAGTGCGGCTGGCAGTTCACACAGCTGCGGCCCAAGGAGCCCCGTGATACTTGGTGATAAACAGGCCTTGTCCTCCCTCCAACTGACTGACAGGCCTCCTCTGGGAGCAGGTCCGAGGGGCCCACATTGATGGAGGAGAAAGGGCTGCCCTTCAAGGAAGAGGTAGGTGAGTGAGGAAGGCGCCCCCGAGGGCAGTGGCCCCACACCTCCGCCTCCTGCGTTCACTGGCTGTGTGACCCGGGGTGAGCCCTCAGCCTCCCTGTTGGGTTCAGTGTCTGCAAGTTAAAATGGGGGCCTGCCTGTAGAGCTATGACAATCAGATGTAACAATATTTTGTGCTTGGCATTTTACCTTCCACATAACAAGTGAGCAGAAAGGGTGAGCTGGTGGGTGGGGTATGTGAGGGCAGGGGATAAACAGCTGAGAAGGCAGGGGAAGGCTAAAAGGTCTCACTAAGAGGACGGGAGGGCCCATGTCACAGCGCTGGAAGGTGACTGCACGTGTCGTGTTCCTTAGTGAGTGTGGGGAGGGGTGTTCCTATAGAGAGAATGTGGCAGGAAACCTGGAATGGCAGGCAGAGGTGTGACCGGGTACGAACAGCCTCGGATCCACCTGCCTCCTGCTCCTGCCCTCACGCCCAGCCCTGAGCCGCCCCGCCAGCCCTTCACCTGAGCCTGAAGCTGTCCCGGTCCTCCCGGTTGTACTCCACGGCCGAGGGCCCCCGGCTCGCCCCGCTGCTGCCTCCCATGACGCCCGGCCAGTAGTCGGCATTGCTCTCCAGGTCCCGGGACACGGGGAGCTGCTTGCTCCGCATCTGGTGGTAGGACTGGCGGAAACTGCCGTCCTCCTCGTGCAGGGAGCTGAGTTCCGAGATGGTGTTGTTATCTGCAGGGACGAAACGAGGCAGAACAGCGTTCTACGTGCGGGCCAGGCGGGACCGCCAGCCAGGGCGAGACCACGGGCCTCGGGAACCCCACCCGGCACTCAGCCTCGTCCGTCCAGGGCGGCGAAGACCTGAACGAGCCTGTTTGTGTCCTTAGCTAGGTGGGCGCGGGGTCCAGCTCGAAGCTCACTTGCCCAGAGTGGGAGGCTTCTGTCCCTGGACTGGGAGAACAGTCATCATTGCTCCCCCTAAGGCAGGCTCCCAGCACGTGGGCCCGCAGTGGTCTCCTCCCAGGACATCGTCATCTTGTGCAAATGAGTGTCGTCTTCTTGTGAGATTCTGTGCTGAGCTGTGGCGACCCCAGGCATGTTGAGCCCAAAGGGGTACCGGCGAGAGAAACCCCAGATCACAGTGTCTTCCCTCCTGCTGGCCGAGTCCCGAGGCGGGGCCTTCAGGGCGAGTACCGCCCCAGCAGCGGGAGCACCCGTGCCAACCTCCTGCAGCCGTGCCCATCCCAGAGCAGGGCGTCCACGGGGCCAAGGGGCATGCATACCTCGTGTCTGCCCACCTCCCACTGGGAGCTCATCAGGGAACCTGGAATACCCTCGCCAGATGGCTATTTCCAGGGCCAACGTTGACCCTTCCCCGCCTGAAAGAGTATCCTAGGTGTATGTGGCCTGGTGGCCAGGATAGCTGTTTGGAGGGGCAGGCAGGCCAGGGGCTGCTGCACCAGGCTCTGAGCCTCCACGTGTGGTCTAGCCCCAGCCCCACGCTGTGAGAAGGGGGAGGGGGCTGAATTGGCATGGCTGTGCTCCAATAAAATTTACTCACCAAGACAGGAGGCGGGACATGGTGCCCTGGGACCTGTAGCTTGCTGATCCCTGCACTGGGATTCCAGACTCAACGCATCCCAAGGGGCAAGTTCAAATGTGGGCCTAGTTCTCATTTCCTAAGGCAGCCTCGGGAGCTATTTGCAACAGCACTCATGAAAAAGACCAGCATTGCAATCCGGAAAGAAAAATACACGCCTATTTACTTATGGAACTTTGAAATGGATCGAATGCCATTTTCCTTAAGAAAATGAATCTACTTAATCTATTTGTACTGTAATTCGAGCCATTTGTTTTCTAAAATCCTTTGGTTAGAACTTCAAAATATTATCAAAGTCAACATTTACAACATGGAGTGTCTGGCTGCTGAGTGAGGTAAGCCGAAATGGGATGTGGGAGGCACACATGTGGGCCTCGTTCCCTCTGTGTCTTCTCCCTGGGTCCCTGCGAACCGCTGCTGCCCCAGGCAGGGAGGGTGGTCCTTCCCTCAGCGGCACCTGCCACCTCTTCGTCCCCAGGACCCAGCTGACCTGCAGCTCCGGGCAGCTGGGCATCAGGTGGTTTGGTGGTCAGTGGTTTTGAATTATAATCTCATTTTAAACCTGTCTTCCTCCGAAGGAACATGGACTAGTTTATATTTGAATGACAATAACTCAGAGCCTTTTGAGGAATAAAATCTAGAACTTTCCTTTCTCAGGAGCTTAGTGATGGACAATCTCCCAGGGAGCACACAGGAGAGAACCTTACAATGCACCGAGGGTGAGGTCTGTCCGCGGTCACATGTGACTACCGAGAAACCGCACTGTTGTCCCAGAACTGCCCTCAGAAGGCAGTGGCGGCGATCCCTCCGGTCTGCAGGTCCAGAGGGCCGTCTGTTCCCCGCTCAGCGGGCGGGTGGGCCAGGCTGCCTGCTCCACAGCTTCTGCCCCATTGAACATGACCACACCCTCCTCCGCTTACGGACACCTGTCACTCAGGGGCAGGACAGTCAGACTCTTCCGAAAAGGGCCACACGGCAAGCATTTTAGGATTTGCCAGCCACACAGGCCTATTCAGCTCTGCCACTGCAGCGTGAAAGGTGACCTAGCGAATACAGGTGTGACTTGGCATGGCTGTGCCCCAATAAAATGTGTTCACCGAGACAGGAGGCGGGACATGGTGCCCTGGGACTTGTCGTTTGCTGATCCCCGCACTGGGATTCCAGACTCAAGGCATCCCAGGGCAAGTGAGGGCCACACGGCTGGCGGGCCCTGGAATGCCCAGGCTCACAGAGTGGATGACTCCCTGTGACAACCTGAGACGACGGACCCACTCTGAGAAGGGACCTTCAAGGCGGTCCCACTTCCGTGACCCTCCCCAGGGTTCTCTGCCTTCAGGCACAGACCTCTCCAAGCCCTGTGAACTGCTTTCCTGCCTCATCTCTGTGCCTTTATCGCCACGTCAACCGGCAGCTTCCAGGACACCGGGGTCCAGTTCTGGTGTCGGCGCTAAGATCTGGCACTGGTGACGTCCCCCTGCCTCCCTTCCCTCCTCTGCAAAGTAAGGGGGAGACTCAGCACCTCTGCCTCTTCCAGGTTTGACTCCAAATCCTACGAGCTGGAAGCTGTGGCCGCAGCAGCCACGGAGCCGCCCAGCCTGCTCCCAGGCTTCTGTGTGAGAGCACAGGGCGGGGAGTCGGGGGGCTGGGTTCCCGTCTCATCCTGTCACTTGCACCCTCCGGCTTCCATGTCCTCGACTTCACACCGGCCATCTCCAAGGCCCCCGTGGGCACCAAGAGTCCATGACCTTGTGACCTGCCAGGCCCTGGGGACCATTTTCATCCAGGGAGACAGGACGTGCCACCTACACCAGCCTAACTCATCTCCTGGATCACCGACTCTGTCCCCTTCCAGGGATCCATGACAACATGGTTACAACCAGCTCGTCAAGTGCGGTGACATCTGCATCCCTGACACCCCAATCTGGAGCCGGCTTTTTATAGTCGGTGGTGGGAGGATGCTGCTGCGCCTGCACTCCGTCCGCGGGAGGAACTCGGAGCCGCGAACGCGGAGGAACTGGCTGTCCTTCGTCCGCACAGAGCTCCTTGCAGCTGTGTTCATGGTGGCCCAGAAATTCCATCACATCCCTGGCAGGTTCCGGGGTGAGGAGGGTTCAAAGACAGAGTGTGGAGCCCTCGGTGCTACACCAGTCCCGGCACACCCACCTGGGCCGCCTCTCCCCGGAGCTGGTCATTGGGAAGCGTGGGCTGTGTGGGCCGCCAAGTCCCCAAGGACCGGGGTGGGTGAAGGGGTGGGGCCCTGCCCACAGGCTCCATGATTCCAAAGTCCCCTGACAAGGGGCAGCCTCCCGACTTGCCCGTTCATTTCTGCTGCCGGGCATCTCAGTGGCACAAAGGCCTCTCCTCTTCGTACGACACGCGTCAGCACAGCTGTTCTCTCACACACCGGGCCTCCACGTGGCCAGTGCCGGCTGTTGTTCAGTGCGAGGGCCCCTCGTGTTGGAGAGACTGAACGCTCAGCTTCCACGTGGAAGTCTGTCCCGGAGATGCTTAAAGGGGCAGTGGAGGGGACTGTTTCCATAAGACATCTCCACTCCCAGCGCACAGCCCAGCAGCACTTCCTGTCCACAGATGCTGAGCCCGAACCCCCTGGACTCGTCTGCTCTTCACACAGAAGCCCGGGTCCCTCCCCGCTGCACCCTCCACGGCCCTTTCCTCAGGATGCTGTCGCCAGCACCTGCTGGTTCTGACCCCGGGAGCCAAAAGCTGCCCAAGTTCAGGGACCCCGCCCCCTCCTCCAAGTCCGCATTAGCTGCGAATTCCTGCACAAGGGAAGGCCCCGTCACAGACAACACGGATGCTCACAGTGGCCCCTCAGCCTGCGGGCCGGGTCAAACTGAGCCAGCTCCTTCTCCACGTAGTACAGGACCTTCATGGAGTCCCGCTCCTTGTCCGCCTGGATCCGGTAACCCTTGCGAACTGTGGGGAAGAGGACACGCGTGTGAGCTGGGGAACTCGGGAGACGGGGCCTCGCGTGCTTTCCCAGGTAGAAGCCACGTTCCCACGTGTGGCAGCTCCCTTCGGAGCCACCAGACACAGGGATCTGTATCTGTACACGTAAGACCCTTCAGCTCGGTGCCCTCGGCACAGGGCCCAGCAGGTCCACACACAGTTCTGTGCTGGTGCCTGTTAGTCCTGTGGTCGCCGCTGCTCCCTGCCCCACCCCAGCAGCTCCACACACAGCTCCTCCTCTCAGAGCTCCGGACGCGGACCTGAGTCCTCCCTGAGCACAGACCCCTTTCCGGCCTGAGACAGACTGCTCTGCAGCCTGCGGCTCACACCGCCACTCGGCGGGAGTTCCTGTAACTTCAAAACAGACACCTCAACTGAGGGACGTGGGCAGAGGTGGCCTGAACGCCTCTAGTGGCCCGGGGGAGGGCGTAAGAACTCCCACCTGCCTGGTGCATAGGAGCTAATGTTAGATTATAGGCTAGATGGGCATTGGTACAAAATAAGAGGCAGAATACGTGATTATCGTTATTTTCTTATTTTTAAACACCGGTAATTCAACCTGCTGCTTGCTGTGTGTGACAAGCAGGTGCTGTTCTCAGGACTTCATAACAAAATTAAAGCATCCTGCAGACATAACCCGACCCCCCACACCATCACTCATACTGTCAGGGACAAAAGCCGTTTGAGCCCCCCCACCCCCCCAAGTGTCACTCTTGTCCAATACCAGCCCCAACGGGAGGTCTAACCGTCACGGGTAAGAGAGGGGAGGAGAGCAGGGAGAGCGTGGGATGGGAACAGAACAATGGTGGCAACAGACACACGTGCTGGGTGCTCGCTGCCTGCTTGGCCACTGGCCCTCACGCCACTCACGGAAGGTGCCGTCTTAGCCAGTTTGTGGTTGGGAAAACTTTGGCTCCAAGGCGTTTCCTAACTTTGCCCCCGGATCACTGGCAGCTCGGAGTCTAGGGCCACAGTAGGAAGGAGAGACGAAGGGGATGAGGAAGAGGAGCTCAGGCAGGAGGCCTTAGGCGGCCAGGGCACGGTGCTGAGGCGTGGTCCTATCTCCGCCCGGCAGGACTGTGCCCTGGGGGGGAAGAGGGGACCCACGGGGAGGCAGGCGCCATACGGAAGCCGGTGCCTCCGGGTCTCTGGTCACGTTACAGTGGAAAAAGTCCCCACAGCCATGGACACGGAGACTGTAATAGGCGATTCCCCAGCGCCCGGGCCACAGCCTGGCACGTGGGCAGACACGGCGCCCACACGCCCCCTGGCAGGCTCTGCTCTGTACATGAGCCTGTGCCGGGCAGTCCACGGCCATCAGATCGTGGCGTTACTTTAAAATCTCCACACGCCGCTTAGTGACTCCTCTCAGAGGTCAGACCCATAATCCTTTCGCAGAAGCAATTATTAGAAGAAATGGTTTTATGCATCAAGCTGCACGGTCTCCCACCTCGTTTGCAGAGTGGTACAGACAGTTCAATTAAAACGCAATTATCCCACCAGCTGCTCTGTCTGCTCCGAGGCAGTGCCGTCTGATGGGTGAATACAGGGCTGGGGGTGGGGCCTGGGCACCCTGTGGGCATGCCACTGGTTTACAGAGGGACCCCCAATAAATGGTCCCTCTGTTTTCCTGTCTGTAAAAGGTAACTCAGCCCCTCATCAGTTTGGCTCAGTAGACAGAATGCCAGCCTGCAGACCAAAGGGTCCCAGGTTTGATTCCAGTCAGGGGCATGTATCTTGGTTGCAGGTGCCTCCCTGGCCAGTGCCCTGGTTGCAGGAGGCAACCAACCGATGTGCTTTTCTCTGTCTTTCCCTCTCTCTTCCACTCTCCCTAAAAATCACTGGAAAAATATCGTCAGGTGAGGATTAAAAAAACGGCAACTCCCAGTTCCCACCCTTTAAGCTCGCGAAGAAGAGACGACAACACGGACCGAAGCCACGGGACCGCCGAGCTCTCTCTAATCAGGAGGGGCAGCTCAGGCGGCGCCACCTCTCCCGGGCCTCGCGTCTCGTCACTCGAGAAGTTCTACCTCCTCTCGCTGTCTCACTCCTAACTTACAAGCCATTCAGTCTGAACCGTCAGCAGGGCCCTGGGTATATTCTAGCTTGTTTATTTGTAGAAATGTGTCATCTCCCCAGAGTCCGCAGGGACAGGAGTCCTTGTCGTTTTGTGTGAAAACACTCAGGACCTCGCTGTACCCAGAGCAGCACTTACTGAGGGCGTGTGAGCGGAGCTGCCGCCGCAGGGCGCAGCGGGGTTCCTGGTTTCCTCAGGAGTATTTCCAGTCCTTTCCCTCTGGACGGCCAACTTCCCGAGGACAGAGAGGACCGGTCCTCTGTTCCTCTCTCACCCCAGCACCTAGCACAGCACCGACACCTGCTAGACATCCCGGATGTGTGAGAAGCCTCCAGTGGCAACTGGAGGGAGCAGGCTTGGTAGGTTTTGCTTTATTGTTATTATTGTTGACGATACCAATGGTAAGAAGACTCTAATGATGATAATCGGTAAGAAGACTCGCTTGTTTGCGGGTGTGGGGACAGGGCTGCCCTGCCTTTGCTGTGGCTTCGACTGCGTGTTCCGAGTGTGTGAGGAGCCCCGTGTGAAATTCCAGCCATGAAGACTGAGCTGGGCTGTGCCCAGGTACTGCCCCCCGGCGGCGAGGCTGGCCCCTGACAACCGCTGGAAACCTGGGCTGCCACGTGGGCTGGAATGCATGTTCCGTCACACAGCAGACACGCTCACCAGACTGAGCGCATATTCTGTTACACAGCAGACACTCTCCTTGGTGTGTTACAGGAACCGTCCCAGCCGCGAGAAGGCAGCGGCCGCCTCAGTCCCCTCTGCCCGGACGCCCGCACTGCTACCTGCAGGCTCGTGATCCGAGAAATTGAACTCCTCACTATCATAAAGGACAGAGGCGAACTATTGATCCTGAGACTTTGTGCCATGGCAGCACACTGGGGCTCTTCCCTCATGCTGCGAGGAGCCGCCGTGTCCCCTGGGGTTCAGGGGCATAAAACCAGGCCTTTCTTGGACTCTCCCCACCCCGCCTCGATGAGGCTGTTTTTTCTGGGCAGCCAGAGAGAACAGCCTGATCAAACACTGCTTTGCAGTCTTCACTCAATTTATTTCAATTTGCTGGCCCCACAACCACTCTCCTAGACCAGTGGTCGGCAAACTCATTAGTCAACAGCGGCAAACCGCGGCTAGAGATCAGCATGTGGCTCTGGAGCCGCGGTTTGCCGGCCACTGCCTAGACCATGCATTCCTTGAGGGGCAATTTATAAACATTTATGAAATTTTTATTGATTTGAAGATAAATAGATGGTGTCTGGTTGATTTTTGTCTGTACTGAGTCTGAAGACCAGAGACCTATGCTGGGTGGTGCCATTTCAATAGGGATTGTCCCAGACCGGTGCCCAAGCCCAGCGCTTTGTGGGAAAGGAGGGTGCTCCCAGCGGTGTTCCAGTTTGGTGGGTGGTTTCCCTCTCTCTCCAGTTCAGTCAGGTTCACGTCCTTTGGTTGGTGTGGCTTCTGCATCAGCTTCTCTAACTCATTAGCCTTGCCAACTCTGCTTCCACCGGAGAGGGAATATTAGGGGACTCATTCTCATGCCACACTGTAACATGGAACCATTATTGCTAAAGATTTGAGCTAATACTTTTGTCCCCATTGAGACTCAACTACTTTTCAGTTCGTTTCCCATTTGCAGCCAAATGAAACGTAAAAACTTGCAAATGACGCCCATCCCTAAGGCAGGCCCATGGTGGCCGTGGTCTCGGAGTGCCAGCTTCCTGAGCTGAGTGAGGCTCCGGGGATGATGGAGCAGCTGCCACCCCCAGTGACAGCATCAGCTGTGAGGAGGTGGAGCTGGAAATGCGTGTTCTCTGTGTGCACACAGCGGGCACAGAGACACATCCTCATTAGTTTCGAAAATGGTATTTCCAAACCCTACCTGCCTACTCAATTCTTTTGCTAAAAGTGAGGGGAGGCAGGTAGATGTGACGAGGAAGTGGATTGGAGTGAGGGAAAAGTGGATGCAGGAAGAGCAGGTAGATCATTCCACTCGAGCAGGTGGGAGGTGGTGGCAGAAGGGACCAGGGCTGGGGTGGAGATGGGGGATCAGGGCTGGGGTGGAAATGAGGGACCAGGGATGGGATGGAGCTGGGGGACCAGGGCTGGGATGGAGATGGAGGGCAGAAAACTGGTTCGAGGTTATTCTGAGCTACAGTCTGAAGGACTTGCTGACCAACTGGATGCGGGGAGTGAGGGTGAGGACGAGAGGAGGGTGGAGTCCCAGCTTTTGGCTAGTAGGTGGACAATGCCAGCCACTGAAATAAGAAACGGCCAAGCTGAAGTGGACAAACAGCAGGTTGATTCCATTTCCCAGAGGCTGGGGTTGAAAAGCCTGCCAGCCTCCAGGGAGGCGTGAGGACGGCAGTGGGACCCGGGGATTGGGGATCAGGGAGGTCCGAGGCATCGGCGTACAGACCATGGCTACAGCCTGGGCGTGAGTCCGTTTCCGGGGGGGAAGCAGGAACACTGGCCTCTGGGCCACACAAAGGGACAGCCGGCAGGAAGAAAAGGTCACAGAACACCACGAGGAGGAAGGCAAAGCCAAGAGTGGGTGAGGGTGCAGGTCCCTGGTAGCTGGGGGAGCCAGGATGGAGGAGGACCCACTGGCCTCAGCAAGAGGCGGCCTGGCGGGCCGGCTTCTGCAGTGAGCGCAAGAGCGAGATGAGAGTTGGGGGCGCTGATGAGAGCAGGGACATGAAATGTTCAAATCTCTCCGGAGGAGCCTGGCAGTGAAGAGGCGCCAGGGGTGGGATGTGACCTCAGAGGGCTGCAGTGGGGAGAAGGGGAGAGATGAGGGTGCAGTATGTAACGGAAGGTTTCCAAGGCCGAAAGGAGGAGGCCCAGAGGCAGGCAGGCTGGAGACGTGAGGCAGAGCGGGCACTGTGCGGATGCCCTCGGGAGAGAAACAGAACCAAGGGGTGGGTCCTGGCGGGGGCGAGGCAGCCATCTTTCACTGTAGGAGGTCCCCACCAGCCGCCATGAAGGATGGGGGAAGGAATCGGGTGCCTCTCCCGTCTCCCTCGCGGTAGCGAACTGGCGGTTCTGTACGCAGCTCCTCAAAGATGCCTTTGCAACCCCCCCCCCCCCCCGCCCCCGTGCGCAAACGACTATTGTGTACAAATAGAATCTGAAAAGTTACCGTTGCTAGGTGACTACCCCAAAATTGAGTTGGCATGTAAATATAAAATAAGCTAAATTTACATCTTTATAAAAAGGCCTATCTTAACATGTCTAACATGCCTGAGAGAATAATCTACACGAAACCTTGGCGTCATCAGTAACTCTGGTCGTGGGACCAGGAAGATAGAAATGTGCCCAGCGGGACACTCACACAGCCAGGCTGGTGTGACACCCCCTTTCCTGTCACAGAGCCCTGGTTTTGTTCATTCCCAAGGTCAATAAGTGCTTTGGTCTAAGAGATGTGTTATATATGTATATATATTTTTTCGTGCATCGGGCCTCTAGTGTACACACACACACACACACACACACACTAGAGGCCCGATGCACGAAAATTCATGCAAGAGTACGCCCTCCTTCCCCTAGCTGCTGGCACCAGCTTCCCTCTGGCACCCGAGACCCAGGCTGGCTTCCCTCATGCCCTGGCTTTGTCAGGAAGGACGTCTGGAATGACGTCTGAAAGAGGAAGATGCCCAACAAACACCCACTCTGGAAGGTCTAATTAGCATATCACCCTTTTATTATTATAGATTGATTTCAGAAAGGAAGAGAGAGAATCATCCATTGGCTGCCTCCTGCACACCCCACACTGGGGATTGAGCCCACAGCCAAGGCATGTGCCCTTGATTGGAATTGAACCAGGCTGAGGATCTATCCACTAGTCCCAGCCAACTAGGTTTAGGAAGGGGCCTGGGACACAGTGCTCGCCACCAAGACTGCAGATGTGGACGGGAGGAAGGGCTTCTGGCAAAGGCCCGTCACTCTGGACAAAGCGGCGCAGGGAGGAAGCGTGTCTGCTTCCTGCCTCAGAATGCAGTGCCCAGAACGATGATGGCCATCGCGGGAGAACCAGGAAGCGCCCAGGAGGACAGAGCGGTGGAAAGAACAGCCCCTCCGTGATGCCATGAGCTGCTCCTCCAGCCAACCCCAGGCCACCTTCCCCAGGGGCTTCTCGCCACGTGAAATAAGACACTGTCCTTGGTCCCAGCCATTTCTGACTGCACTGGTCAGTACGGCAGCCAGGCCGGAAGGACGGCACTGCCACCAGCAGGGGCTGGGGAGGCTGGAAAGAGGAGAGAGGAAGCCCTTGCCACTCTAGGAACATGAATCATTTTGTTATGAGACTCGCTGATTTAGAAGTGTGGGGGAGGGTTCTGGTGGGAAGGCAGGAAGGAGGGGAACTGGAGGAAAGGGAAGCAACCCATAGAGTTGGAGACAAGTTCCCTGGATGGCTCCTGGCCCCCCACCCACTGGGCAGCGGCTGCCTCTCTCTCTCTCTAATCCCCTGTGTCTTTGATCATTAGCTTCCACTCCCCTGCCTGTGACTCATTTCCGGTCTCAGGCGGCAGGATTCTGTGAATAGTTCCAGGGAGAGAAAAACACAAATGCCGATCACCCACTGAGGCCGCCTGCTCTGTCCACGGTCCGTACCGACAGTTCACCGCTGGGCGAGGCCCTGGTCCCTGTCCAGATGCCCCTCCCCGAGCAGAAATGCCTGCTTTCCCCATCCCCATGGCTCACCCTCCCCGGGGTTTATAAATCACCTGCTAAGTCTCCCACACACAGCTTCAACCTTCCTGCTCTGCGGCCCTGGTCAAGGCCTCCGGGAGAGCCACACCTTAACACGCTACCCCCATCCCCCTCCGCCCGCCCATAACCATGACCCTTCATCCCTAGGTGGGCCAATCTCATCTGTACAGGCCTCTGGACCAATGAGCGCACGGCGGGCTGTGAGCGCACCACCGTTACTCCACTTCCTGCCCGATGGGCTCCTCTCCATGCACCTGTCCGACTGCCCTCATTTCAGCTCACGATCTCCCCCCAGATGCTCACATGTCCCCTGAACAACTTCAGCTGCATCTCAGCTCGGGGTCCGACTCACTCTCCCTGTAAACCACGTGCGGGTCAGCACCTCACTCTCCGCTCAGGACTCTGCTGCCGTGACTCTCGCTACAGCACTGAGTCCCAGCCCTTCTGGGAGCCGGACCAGTGAGCCGGACACCATCAAGCACACTGTGTCCTCCCTGCTCGGGCTTCACCTGCTGCCTCCTGGGGGTGCTCAGTGACCGCCCCCGCCCCCCGTCCTCTCATTCCTGCAGCCCAGCTCACACCTCACCTCTTCCCAAAGACTTGGCAACCAGCTCTCTCCTACAGCCCCCCAGTCCCACGCTCTAGCCCCCAAATGCCTGATGAGGTGTCTTTCAGCTGCGTCCACACGTCTTGGCACTCGGCACTGGCCGGTTGGTCCTGTACGTGACGGAGGGAGGAGGAAACCACTGACTAGCTTCTGGGATGGAGATACCATTTCCGAAAGGGGCGTCCCTGAGCTGCCGTCAGCCAGTCCCCGGGGGAAGCCAGGAGCGGGCCGGGCGGGATGGAACCACATTACCGCTGCGGCTGCCTCCAGTGGAGTCGCTGGGAGCCAGGGGCGGTGGGTGCGGCTTGTCCATCAGCATGCCCGATGAGGGGGCTCCTCCCAAGGGGACAGGGGGGATGGAGTAGGGGCCGGGGACACAGGACACAGAGGGAGGGTACCCGGCCTTGGCTGCTTTCCCTGCTTCATACACTGTGGAGGGAGACGAAGAGCAAGAGATTATATGGTCCCACCCTCACACCCCTCAACCTCACGTCCCTGAGGATGCACTTTAGGGACCCCCTGGATGTCTGCCTGTGTGCCTATATGTGCATGCATGTGCACGTGTGTGCTTATGTCTGCAGGTGCATGTTGTGTTCTGGTGCATGTGTGTACATGTGTGTGTTGTGTGTCTGGGCACATGTGTTAAGCATGAACATATATATGTTGTGTGTACCTATGTGTGTGTATTTGTGTGTGATGAGGGTTCTTATGTATGAGTGTGTCTATGCCTGTGTGTGTGCTTATGTGCGTGTGCATGTGTGTGTGTGCACGCCTGTGTGTTCATGTATGTGTATGCTTTCCTAGGCCTGAGCCACTCAACTCCCCGCTGCCGTGGACTCCTCCGGCTCCGTCAGCGGACGACATCAGGAAGTGCAGTGTTTGGCACCTGGAACTGAGTCCCTAAGCGGCTCTGTGACAGCACAGCCCACTCTTAGCGGCCCTGTGTAGGCGGCCCAGCCCCCGGCTGCCCAGGGCAGCTTCCAGGGCAGCCGGAGCCTCTTCTAGCGGGAAAGCAGGGGCTGCTTGTGAGCCCAAAGCGGAGCAGATGACCTGACTCCGGGAAGTGCACTACTCCCGAGGGTACCAACCACAGTGCTGTGTCTCTCTCCGACAGCGGGGGTTCCAAACGTGATGCCTACCTGGGCCTGGCACCTGGGGAATCCCCAAAGGAGGACTCGCACTTCTGTGGACCCTGTGGTCACGGGAGCACATGGAACCCGCCAGTGGCTGGCTGGTACCCAGCACTGTGGTCTGCACACTCCGCTGTCAGAGAGGGGTTCTCTGCTGGGAAGGGCGTGGCCAGAGAAGCGTCCTCGAGTCTGAACGCCCGGGAGAGGGCAGGCGCCTCTCCCACAGCCTCAGCCGCCTGCACCCGCCCTTCCTGCACCCAGTCTCAGCGAGGACGGCACATGCTGGTGACGGGCGTGGACAGCGTTGAGGGAGTGGAGTGAGACGGAGTGAGTGAGTGGACGGAGTGGAGTGAGACGGCACACAGGAATGTTGCTCTGGAAGCGGGGCTCCCGCGGGGAGGAGCATGGGATGAGTGACACTTGGGGCGGAAGGAAAGGAGGTGGAAGAGGAAGTCGGGCACACAGCCGCCCCTCGGGGGGGTCCCGATCCTCGGGGGCTGCCCCCGCCTCAGCCCTTTACTCACAGGCCTGCGGGCAGCAGCAGGACTCGGGGCAGCAGGGGCAGCGGACGTAGCAGCAGCAGCTGTGCGGGCAGCACTGGCACCAGCAGATGCCCACCAGGACGAAGAAGAGGAAGACGCCCAGGATCACCAGCCCGACAAACACCCACTCTGGAAGGACGCACAGGGAAATGGCGTCAGGATGGCCCGCTCGCCCGCCTCTCCCACGAAGAGGCCGACGGGGGGCCGGGGACAGAGGGCGCAGAGCCCCAAACTCGGGAGGCACTGGGAGCGTGAGCAGTGCAGACCCCCGGGCTGGGGCGTGAACAGGGTGGTCACCGGGTCCTGTGATCACAGTGACACCCAGCACCAGCCACGGTGGCTCAGGGCCCACCCGGGGAGCGGGTTTGCCACGCTGGCTGCAGGGTCAGGACGGGCGTGGGACCGGAGCACAGACACTGGTGCCTGGAGGGCACGGGTCTGCGGAGCTGGAACGGGGTTCTGTGCGTACGGATCTTGGGGAGTCGTTACTCTTGTTGCTGAAAGTGTGAGCCCTGAGACACTCGCTCTGTCTACCTGGTCCCAATCTGAACGTGCTTGGTGGTCCGTGTCCTTACATCTCTGTCCGTTCCCCTGCCCATCACCCGAGCACCTTCCCTGAACTCAGCATCGGGGCTGATAACTGTCCAACCAGGACCAGAGGCCAGGACAGAGGGGCCCCAGAGAAGACGCTGTCCCCGCCCCGCGGCTGACCTGCTGGAGGGCCAGCCCCCCCTGGAGGCGCGGGAGGCTAGTGAGCGCGCTTTCCCTTAAAAGCGAAAAAGCTACAGCAATTCTGATTGAAAATCATCTGCCAAAAACTCTTTCCAATGGACTTCACGCGTTATTTTCTTAAACTTGGGGTATTAAATACTCCGGTTAAGTGGCCATTCAGTGAGAGCTTGAAAACGTGGCATTTTTGTTGCGTAAGTTTGTGATCGTGGCAAAGCCTTTGATCTTTGTTTAGACAGATTTCCTCAGAGAGGAGACTTCTCATGCTTCCTGGCTGTCCCGCCCGCCTCCCCCTGAAACAGGTTCGAAGCGGCCAGGTCCCAGCTCTGCAGGAGAGGGAGCCCTCGTCACTAGTGTGGTCGGAGAGCACTCCTGCTGCAGCACTGGATGGCTGAGGCTTTGGCCTGGGCCTGGGAATGACGTCAGGTCACTGCCCGGAGACAGTGTGAGCCTGAGGGGTCGGTGAGGGATGAGGTGTGGCCAGGCCGTCGAGGAGAAAAGACGGCAGGTGCCCTTGAAGGAACACTGTTACCCACAAGGATTCTTCCAGCTAAAAGGGAGGGGCATGCAGGTTCCCAGGAGCAGAGAGGGAAAATACAGCAACTCTTTCTTGGGGTTATCAGCTCTGATGTGGAGAAGCGCTGCTGGGTAACATTGTTTCTCTGACGCACACACTGACACAATTCTGGATGAGGGGGGACACAGAGACAGTCTGTGTGGCCTTGGGACGAACAGGAAGAAGACTGTCTGTATTGGGCTGTTCAGTTACTGGGAAAGGGCCAGGAAATTCCTGGAAGAATAATGAGGGATGCTCTATTGGGAAGACTCTGGGTGTTTCTGAAGCCTTGAATCAAATCAAAACCGATGGCCGTGGATACTGTGTACCTCACTGCTGCTGGCAACCTCAGGCAGCTCTGCAACGTGGGCAGAAAGCCTCCAAAGCGAGAGGGAACCCCTTCCCACCCCGAGTCTGGCTGTGGTGCCACCTGGTCCATTCCTGCTTGGTCCGAGCCTCCTCCTTATGGGCTACAGGCGGCACCAGCCTGACGGTCGCTTGTGTAGGCCTCTGCGTTCAACTGAAGCCACACAAAAGCAGGGCAGGTGTCCTGGAGACAGTCCACAGCCCCCCAGGACCGAGGGGCCCCCAAAGGCGCTGGAGCTGCACACAAAGCAGAGTGGGTATGGAGATGTGCGCTCCTCATGGGAGAAGGGGTGCCCAGCTCTCATTAAGTTGGAAGAAAAAAGTTCTGATAAAGTTACAAGGGAAGTTCAGAGTAACGTGGCTGCACACTGATGGGTGGGTAACATAACTTAGGGCCTAAGGAACACAGACAAGGAATGACTCTGTTAAGGATACTTAGTGCGAGGTGGTGCAGCTGAGACGCTGGGCATGGAGGTGGCCAGGGAGGTGCGTGCCTGGCATGTGTGGTCAGGACTGGGGACCCATCTCAGCCATTTTTAATTTTCGTTACGTTTTTAGGGTCTAGTAACAGAGGAAATACCATTTATCCCAATGGGCTTAGTTCATCCTGGAAAAGACCACAGACACATATAGACAAATGTGCAGATATAGTAAAGGAGCAATTAGTGACTAATGCGGAAGCCAGACAGATGGAATGACAGCACACTAAGCAAAGGAGGAGTTAAATGACGGAATACCTGGCATAATCTCCACAGCAAAACTGGGCAAGAGGTCAGCAAGCAGCCCTGTCCTGCCTAGAAGAGGTAGAAGGGAAGAAGAAGGAGAGAGGTTACTCCAGGGGAAAACGCAGCCTCGGTGGCTGGCTGGTGCCACCACACGGCATGGCCCAGGCTCTTTGTGGCACCGAGGCACATCCAGCGGTGGGGCCCGGGCAAGAGAATGACCTTCCCACCGACCTCTGGCAGCTGGGGAAGTGACCGCTGCACCTACATCAGGGGAAGCAGAAACAGAACTTCCCCTCCTGCCACGTACAGGAGGCGGGGACGCCTGCCTCACCCACGAAGGGCCCTGACCAGCAGACAGACACGCGCCGGCCACTCACGTGTGCGTCCTTTACTGGAGAGTCCACCCCGTCCGGGTCCAGACAGTCAACCTGCATTCCCACACATCCACACGGATCCCCACACCCGTAGAAAACAGAGCGCATATTTACTTTTAACTCGGAATGATCTCGGTATATAATTCTAATTACAGCCTGGAGACACTTCAATGATTAACATTTCCAAGGCAAAGGAGAGATAAGCTAGATCATCTCACGCTCCTCTGCACTGGCTTCGGAAAAGCTCTGCACGGTATGGCTTTCCCATATGGCACCCCCAGCTGGTGTGCGTGGACCCACCTGCCTCCCACGTGCCACGGCAGAGAAGCGTGAGGGCCGGTATGGGAACACGCAGGGGCCCCTCGAGGCTCGGCTGGCAGGGAGCTTGCAGGAAGGAGCCACTGAGATGTGGGGAAGGAGGTCAGTCCTTACAAACAGCCTCCTGTATAGGGAGAGGTGCCAAGCGCACCACGTTCTCAGTCGCAGTCCCTGCTGGGACTTCCCTGCGCCCAACGCCCGGCCATGCTGGGGTCTCGCTGACCAATGAGGTGCACTGGGAAACAGCTCGTAAACCACCTCCTGTCAGGCTTGGATGGCAAAGGCTCACCCTGGCACCTCATGCTGCTTCGTTTACGTGTGTGACGATGCACCAAGAACAGCTCTGTCTGGTGCAAATATGTGAGCAGCGGGTCACTGCAGGATTTCTAGTAATCACGTTAAAAGAGTAAAAAGAGGCCCTGCCCAGGCAGCTCAGTTGGTTAGAATATCATCCTGATATACTAAGGATCTGGGTTTGATCCTCAGTGAGACCACATACAAGCAGCAACCAATGAATGCATAAATGAGTGGAACAACAAACCAATGTTTCTCTCTTCAATCAATTAAAAAATTGAAAACGAGTAAAAAGACTGAAGTTAACGGCTATTTTTACTTATACCAAGACACCCAAAGTGTGAGCACTTCCCAGGCCCCGAACATCACCTCCACTGGGGGTCTGTTTCATGCACGTGGACTTGGTTCATTCAGAAACAGCCCTTCCTGTTCAAGTTTCTAGGGGCGGAGTTGAGAAAAAGTCACGTGTGTGGTTTACATTGTGAGCCATAAGGCCATTGGCTGGGCAAGCCGCCCCACTGAAAGCAGCTCTGAGCTCTGACAGAGGCCACGGAAAAGGCTCGCCAGGCGCGGGGAGGTCACTGTCCTGGGGGCGCAGCGTTAGGGGGTGGGGAAAGGGTGTTGGCTCACTTTGCTTTTCTTGGCTCTCCTCAACTCGCAAGGCCAGCGTGGAGTCAGTGTCCCGGTCATGTCACCTGCGTGGGTGATGGCCCGACATTTACAAAGCTCACTGGGACCAGAGCCCTTTCCAAGGGCGAGGCAGCTTGGGGGGTGGCGCAGGCCAGCTCCGGCTCGGTTTGGGGCAAGCAGAGCCTCCTTCTGTCTGTGCTGCATCTGCCTGCAGGCTCTCGGAAGGACATGTGCGAGCCACGCAAGTAATTGGGAAAGGCACCCTCGGGAGTTAGCCTAAGCCTCTAGGACCGGCTAGGTGGTGCCTCTATGCTCACACGAGGTCCCGTCCAGTTTTCCGGGATGGGAGGCCGGACTGGGCTCGGGGCCAAAATCTGAGGGCGTGACTAAGGGCACCAGCTGGCCTCACCTGGCCACTCTCTGTACAAGTTTCTCTTGGAAACTCAACAAGGCAACAGACAGCTGGCCAGGGATTTGGGAACTGGGACCTGGGACATCGCTTAAAGGCATAATTACTATTAATTACCAGCCAATAGTCAATGAACCAGAAACCAATACGTAGTGTTTTTAGTAAGCCAGGTATCAGAGACTTACTTTGACAATGAGAACAATCAGCACTTCTAAACGTGCCTCTGATTGTAGCGATACAATGAGAAGCTTCCCTTGCATTTTCTCTCTGGTTCTCAAGCCCACCAGTGTTTAAACATCTCTAGACATGTGATAGCTCCAGTCATTACATTCCTAATAGGAAGCACTGCAGACATAGCTGCCAGTTGTGCGCTCTCACAGGAACTAGCTCTGTGGTGACTATTGACTGTAAAAAGCCCAGGCATGCAAGGGGGAGGTGCGCGAACACATCACAGGGCATGTTCTACGGAGACAGCAGCGGACGGGGAGCGAGGGCGGCGCTGCCCCGAGTTTACTGGTGATTATGCAGGCAAGCCGCAGCCTCCTCTGGTCTCCGTTTCCTCCTCAGTCGATGAAGTGCTGTCTCTATAAAGGAGGCCACCTGGCCTGGCTACCATTGCCCTGGTGTAGTGATTCAGAGCGCCTCTTCTCACCCCAGTGCCCTGTTCGGACAGTTCATTGTAGGTCATCCTGTCTATAGCATGTTTCGTTCTTAAAGCTGATACGCAGTGAACAGAGTTGCAAAAGCAACTATCTGCCTACAGCACATGTGTCAAACACAAGGCCTGCGGGCCAAATCCGTCCCGCCAGGCCTTGCAATGTGGCCCGCACCGCGCTGTCATCACTGCACTCCGCTGCGTTTCCATCACAATGACAGTTTATGACTGTTCAGTAAACCATTCGGCCCGCGATTTAGGCTGGATTTTAGATTTTGGCCCCTTCTCTGATTGAGTTCGACACCCCTAGACAGGGACCAGCAGGAGTGCAAATTTACGCGCAGCCAGACCAATCTGGGGGAGAGGGGTGGCAAACAGCAGGCTGTGTGTCCATGGGGGCTGTTCCTCCCCGCACCCGGCCAGTTGTCGCCCCAGAAAAAAATGTGCCTGCGTGTTTGCAGGTCTTCCTATAATATTTCTTAAGCAGACGTGAGATTTTTTACGTAAAATATCCTGATGTGTGAACATTGCCAACTGATGCAGAGTTTAAAGAGCACCAGATAAGCATAATAAACAGGGTGTACACACAGAGATATGTTTATGGGCACATGGAACACACAAGCTGGACCTCTCCACAGGCTCGTGGGTGACCTTGGTGGTGGTCTGACCTTGCTTCTCTACCCAGAACGTCAGGGAACACAGGTTGTAGGCGCCTGGGTTTGGCTCTGAAGGCATCACACGCCACACTGTTAGCTCTTCCTACTGCTGGGAGCTGCGAGGGGCTCAGGGAAGAACACTGAAGGCCTTCCATTTTGTACATGTTTTTGACATTTGTAATTGAAAAAAATGAAAACAAGGAGAGGTGGGGTCAGAAATGTGGTCAGGACTTCACAAAGCTTGTCACTGGGACAGAAGGACAGGCGTCTGCTTCTCATTCTCCCTGAAGCCACAGTCCAGAGCTGACGCTCCTGAGGCAGGGACACATGCACGGTGTGGTGGCCCCTGGCTGGGCGGTACCCTCTTACAGGGAACAGCCGGAGTCCGGGGACAGCGGGCAGTGCCACCGTCATGGCAGCAGTGAGACCTGCGCTCACTGGCTTGCACACCGGGCCTTATTTTATTGGACTAAAGGCACTTTGAAAACGGGTTTATACTGGGACCCTAGATTTCTGAAAAGCATTTTGCTTCCATCTTCTTGCCTAGCGATTCCTGAGAATGGCCTTTGCCAGATGAAAATGCTGTATCTTTCTTTCCTAACCCATCATGCCCAGTGCAGGCCTGACCCGGAGTCCACACAACTGCAGCGAACGCCCTGCTCTCAGAGGCCTGACCCAGCTGGGACCTCACTTGTCCTCCTGGGTTCGGTGTAAGAGTGGCAGTTACATGTCACCGAATGTCTGAGAAAAGGATGGAGAGGTGACATTCCAAGGCCGTTTTCTCTTTTCAAACATCGTTAAAGCTATTACAGAAAACTGTTCATGAGGTGCTTGTGTTCCTGAACTTGGCAGAATCCATCACCTTAAAGCTATTTCCACAGGAGTCAATCCCACAACTCAGCGCACACATGAGCACCAGTTTCACACCAAAGCATCATGCATGTTGCAGCCCAAAATACTCCCGGGATTGAATGATCATGGCAGCAGCAGCATGCACAAGTGGATAAAACAATTCACATATCATACCTGCACAACTCCCACGGCCGCCATTGTTTGCCACAGACACTTTAAAGTTACCTGAGAGCTTTGTACTATTCCTCGGACCCATTACTTCTGAGTGTCTCCCAATCATTCATTCATTCATTCATTCATGCATCAAGAAATGTATGCGGCGCCAGGTGGAGACGCAGAGGGGAACTAGACGAGATCCCTGCACTCTCGGGGCTCACGGTCTCGCCTGCAGCTTGTCCAGCGGTGTGAGTGTAAGAGCAAGTAAGCGTCACAGGACTTACTGAGGTACCTCCTCCTGCCCATGCCATGGCTCATCAGCCTTCTTGCCTTTTAACATCGGGTTCCACCTGGCCCTGAGGCCCTCCCCAGAGCCTTCCCCAGAGCCACGGCATTCTAGTCCCAACAAACCCTGTCCTGTGACACTTCCCCGAGACTCGAGTGGTCCTTCATGGTAGGCCAGCCCTTCCATGGACTTCCTTCCCTTCTTTCCTAGGGTAACAGCTCCTCACTCCTCACTCCTCACCCCACACAGCCTCCCCCCTCCAATGTGGATTCCGACAGCCCGGAGGGAAGCTGCGCTGAGAAGGTGGGTGTGCCGGGCTCAGAGGACCCCAGGGGCACCCTGCCTTAGAGCTGGTCTCCTGGTGGCAAGGAGCAGCGCACTGAGGACGAAACCCTCCAGGCAGGGCCTGCGCTCTGTGCGATGTCCCCAGCAGCCCCGC